ATCCCCCCTCAGCATGGCTGTCCCCCAGGCCCACCCCGAGCCCCCCTCATGTCTGGGCTCATACATTCTCCTCCACTTCCTTCCGCAGCTGCTTGCACTCCGGGGAGTCCGACTTCACCAGGTTCTGCGTGAAAAGCCGGGTCAGCCTCAGAGACAGCCCGTAGGGAACTGGAAAGAGAAATTCCCAAGTCAACCTCCTTCCTCTTGATCGGAGAAATAACCCGGCCAAAAGCATGGGGACACACATGGTGCTCGGTGTCGAGATCCTGTACCATTAGCACCCAACCACTACACCGAACTAGTGAGACTAAGACATGTGCAGGGTACATCCACCACGTGGTCAGGCTGTCAGGAGGTCTGCCACCCGTCCTGCTACAGGAATGTGCCCAGCTTCCTCCAGAATAGAAGCAGATAAAGGAACCACCCCCCTTGCAATTGGGCTTGGAAGTAATGCCACGGCTGCTGGAGTTGGTGGCCACTATCAGGGGTTCGTGCCCTTTATGGCACTCACAGCATCTCCTCTATGCCCTGTTCCTCCAACGTGGCACTCACTGAGATCTTTGTGGTTGGCGGCAGTGAGGGAGGCGAAGCCCTGCTTGTGAACATTGTTGTTGATCTTCCAGCGGACTGTGTCCCGACCCTTGAGGGACCCGCTGCGGACCATGGGGGTGTCCAGGTGGTCCTCCAACGTGGCACTCACTGAGATCTTTGTGGTTGGCGGCAGTGAGGGAGGCGAAGCCCTGCTTGTGAACATTGTTGTTGATCTTCCAGCGGACTGTGTCCCGACCCTTGAGGGACCCGCTGCGGACCATGGGGGTGTCCAGGTGGTCAGAGGACATGAGGCTGTGGCGAAGCATGTAGTGGTCCTCCTTGAAGCCAACAGTGCGACCTGCAGGGGCAGGGGCAGGGTCAGGGTCAGGGTAAACTGGGACAACACCAGCCATCAACTTTGCCACCCCGTGGCTATGTTCTAGGAATCTTTAGGGCTTCCACCATGCTAAGGGTGTTGGGATGTCAGGGGTGGAGAGGGAAAAGGGTGTCCATGAGTGGGGAGAGCACATCACACCAGCTAGGCGTTACAAGGAACACTGGTCAGGGGAGAGCCAGCAGCGGGATTCCCAGTAGGACACAGCAGGATGTGGGGCAGGGAGGAGCAGTGGAGCAGCAGCTCAAGGGCTCCTTGGCTCAGGCTCTCTGCTAAGAGAATTTTCCCCTGATCCACCTCCCCAGCCCAGAGAGGAGGAGGGACGTTTATCCCAGCACACCCCCCACAACCCGGGAAAGCAATGAACCCCACAGATCCCTCTCCCCCACCCCACCCCCCCCTCCCCCAGTTCCCAGCCCAGTTCCAAGGGCTGGTACCTCGTGCGCAGCAGGGAAGCAGGGCCAGGCAAGCCTGGAAAACAAACAGCCAAAGACACCATCACTTTGCAGCCAAGGGCAAAAAAAACCCCCCACATCTCCAGCTGGGAGGATTCACAGCAGCAGGGATTGGTGGGCAACGGGTGGATGTGGCTTTGGAAGCTGATTTTAGCCAGACATCCCTTCAGTGGGGGAAATCCCATAGTAACTCATGTCAGTGACAGCAGAGGTGCCGGATACTACTGGGACCCAGCCCCGGCCTTACTGGAGGCTGAGTGGATTCTGGAAATTTGTCCTGGTTTTGACCTTTCTCTGGTCCTCTCCCCGGGCTGGGGCATCTGGCCAAGGCGCTCACCTTGCAGCAGGTGCAGAACTTCCAGCAGAGCAGGAGCAGCAGCCCCAGGAGCAGGATGAGGAAGATGAGGAGTGGGATGAGCCAGAGGAAGCTCCCCGGAGGGCACTCTGCAAGAGACAGCAACGTCACTCCTGGGCATTAACCCCTGCATGGGGTGCACAGGAAGGGTGTGGGAAGGCAGGGACAGAGGGAAAAGGCTGGGCCACAGCTCTTGGAGGGATGCAGCAGCCCAGTTAAGCTTTGTGAGCACCAAGAGAGAAGCACCCATGAAAAGTGCTGTTCAGGGAGAACTATCGCAGCTCTCTGCTCACATTCAGCCATCCCAGGGGGCTGTTTGGCACCTCACATCAATCCCTGCCCAAGCCAGCAGTGAAAAAGCACTGATGTCTAGAGGCGCTGGTCTCTGGGGATGCTACACCGTGCTTCTCACAGTCCATGTGACCCAATGTCACCCACCCCATCACGCAGGAAGGTTGGCAGGGAGGTACTGACCCTGCCCAGAGGCATGGCAAAGAGACAAAACGGGGACCAGAGGCACTGTGGGGCAGCGCACTGCTGATCCAGCCCCCAGGCTGGACATCCCCTCCTGCCGGGTCCCTGCTCACCTTTTTTCTTCTGCACACGGACAGTGGTGTTGGGGAAGATGGTGGGGTCTCCCTCCAGGCTGTAGTGGTACGTGCAATCGTCCTCCTCATCCTGGAATGAGCAGTACTCACTGGCCTCCTCTGCAGAGAGAGGGGACATGGTTGCAAAGTCATCAGGGACCAGGAAAAGCTTGGGGAGCAGCCCCACATGCACACACACATGGGGCAGGGCCCACAGGAGACACACCACACGTGTCTGCACCCAGCTCCCCTCCTCCTGGTACCTTTCTTCAGCTCTTCCACCATCTGGATCTGGAGGTGGCAGGTGCTGCAGTTCCCTTTCATGTTGCCTGTTCCCCAGGCCTGGCAGCGAACGCAGTCCCGGATGCTCTCGCACACAGCCTGGAAACCCTGGGCAGAGAGGCAAGGTGGGACGGTCAGGAGATGGCCCACTGGGAGTGAGGAAGGACATTGTCTCCAAAAGGCAGAGCTGGAAAGGCAATGTGGTGTCCTCGTCCCAGCATCAGGGCAAAGTTGAAAAGAGGAATAACAGAGAGCAAGCAGCTAACAAAGCCAGACCCAAAATCTCTTATACAAACAGCCTGCATTTGGGCAGTGATTAGATCTTCTCCAAGGGTTTTAGGTGGCATTCCCAAAATATGACCAAGCCAGCTTTCTCCATTCCCACTGTGGAATTAGCCCATGTTTGTCAATGGGGAAACAGGCACAAGACCATGAAATGTTTTTTTCCAGGCTCGAGACAAAGCAGAACAAGCCAGGAGCCAAGCCTCAAACCTCTGCCCTTCATCAGTGTGCAGACAAACACAGATGGACATTCAACATCGCTGCTGGTGAACTGGAGGGCAAAGAAAGCCTGTGGCTGCAAAGCAGCTCCTATACCAGACCCTTCCTGGCCACCAAAGGCAGGACAGGTGAGACTAACCCCCACTCAGCATTTTGCTCCTGACCAAGATGTGCCTTCATCTCTGCTTTGCTTTCTTTCCCTGGAGGCTCTATGTGGGAAGAAGTGATAAACCCAGAGGAACCCAGGCTGATCCTCACCAGGGAGTAGCTGATTTCGCAGGTGGAGCTGGTGTACAGCGAAGCCTTGTCACAGATGCATCTGCCGCATTTGCACCTCCCATGGTTATTGCAAATGCCCTGGGGAGGGAAGAGGTGACAGTCGGCATCCAAGAGCAACCGTAGACATGCAGCGGCACTGGGAGTCAGCAAGGTGCCAGCTCCCAGCACCCCTGAGCCTCGGGCATCACAGCAACTGGTCCGGTCGTCTCTCGCACAGGCAGGGCAGGACCTACCCCTCGGCTGTCGATGCAGGTGTCGTTGCTTGTGGGACATTCGCAGCCTGGACCCTCCCAGCCGCTCTCGCACACACACGCACCCTCAGAGCAGCGACCGCGATCTGCGATGCAAGAAGAGGCATTACCCATGCAAGAAGAGGCATCACCCAGGGACCGGCACTGCGCTGCTCCCTTGGCCCTGCTCACAGGCTGCCCCAGCTCTCCCACTTTCCTTGGGGTGCAAAGGGGCTACAAACAGACTCCACAGCACCCTCCCTGCACATTTGCAAGCGCAGAGTCCCCACAGCCTATTGCTGGTCACTCAATCCCCCATGCCAGGGCCACCAGCCCAGGGACACCCTGCCTATGCCACAAGCACAGAGCAGGGCGCAGTGCACCCCACAACTGGGGGATGCTGGGGGCAGCGGGGCTGCTCTCACCATTGCAGAGGAAGCCAGAGGTGCGTGGGCACTGAAGGACATCGTACTGGCAGAACGCCCCGTCAAAACGCTGTTTCAGGTCCTCAGAGTAGCACTGGCACTTCCCACACAGGCACTCGCCCCGGCCCGAGCACGGCTCCACATCCCCAGGGCGGATACAGGCTTCGTTGTTGGGGGACGATGCCGGGGAGCAGTTGCAAGTGTCCCCTCGCCTGGCGGGGAAGAAACGGTGCTGAGAGGCAGGAGCAGAGCACAGGACAGCAGGGGACTGCACATGGGCAGGATGCCCAGGACATGAGCGTGTGTCATTGTGGGTCCCCCAACCCAGCAGGAACCCTGGGAGGAGTACAGAGCAGGACAAAGTCCTTACCAGCCCGGGTGACAGATACACTGTCCGCAAATGAAGTCCCCATGGAAGCTGCATTTGTGCGAGCTTAACTCTTGTTGCTGTAAGAGAAGAGAGAAGAGATGTTGCCACATGGGCTTAGCTGCCCCCCGAGACCATTTCAGGAATCAGAAAGGCAGATCTAGGGGCAAAGTTTTGCCCACAAGACTGAGCTCTGCCATAGGACAACATGCCCAACTTGGTACAGGCAGTGGTGAAGACCTCCTTGGTCAGACTGAGCCTCTGCTGAGCAACGGCGATGGGTTGAGCAGAACCCATATGCACCAGCCAACGCATTCCCATCCCAGGCTGGTCAGCAGGAGGTCATCTCTCTGCAGCGCAATCCTCCCTCCCGCCCCACCACGTACTTGTTCACACGAGCACACATCACAGATGATGGAGGCTCTGACTTTGAGGCTATCACTCAGGGACGTGGGTTTCACGTGGATAACTCCCTCACGGTCTTTCTTAGGGAGGCTGCAGACGTGCTGCCCACCGATGTCCTTAAGCGCCTTCAAGCGTACATTGAATGTGCCCTGGAAGGAAAGGACACACCCCAGGGGTGAGCCAGATCTGCTGGACCACAGCTTGGCCGGACTGATCCCAGGTGAATAAGGAAGCAGGGATGCAGTGAAGGGCTCAGCCCCTCGCACACACCTCCCCTCTGGGGCCGTCCGGGCACTCACCACTTTCCCACGGGTGATGTTGAAGGAGCCAGATTCTGTCTTTTCATACACTGAGGAGGTGAACTCTGTCTTCAAGGCTTTGGGGACGTAGTCAGCCCGGATGTCCATCTTGGAGTGGATGCGCTGGGTGGCAGAAGACAATCACAGCATTAATTTTCAGCAGCACCCCTGTGACCACCCTATGGCCTGCCCCAGAGGGACCGCATCCTACCATCCACCTGTTCTCCTGGGCAGGAGGTGCCCATCCCCTGCCTTCCCTGGGAGCGAGAGCGTTACCTCAAAGGCTGTGCGGAGCAGCTCCACGATGTTGGAAGAGTCCTCCTGGAGCACCCCGATCTCAGAGATGGGGAAATACTTGTGCAGCTTCTGCAGAGAGACAGGAGCCCGCTGAGCCAAGGCCTTGAGAAACCTCCTCTAGCACTGAAGCAGGCTCTGCTTTGAGCAGGGCTTGGACCGGAGACCTCCAAAGGTCCCTTCCAACCTAAATTACTCTCCAGCTCTGTGTCCCCACTGCTTTACAAGAAATATACAGCAACACGAGGAGTTCTTCTAGGACCCCAGATTCCTGCACCCAATAATACACCCTGAGACCTCCCACAACCCACAGCAACCCTCCAACACACTGTGGCACCTTCCCAAATTATCAAGGTCTTGGTTTAGCAGCTGGGGACAAGAGATGGGAGAACACTTTCTCCCCACAGCCAAGCTTCAGGCAGAGGAGCAGTGGTCCTGGAGGAAAGGTAAGCCCACCGCCGTGGTCTCCTCACCTCATAGTAGCTGTAAGAGTGGTTGGTGACAGCAAAGATGGGGATAATGTTGTGTCGACCCAACAGGCGCACCAGGGTGGGCACCGAAGGATAGTCCTGCTTGGTGTCATACACATAGGTGCCATCGGTGTCTAGGTGACACTTCTCATCATTTCTTGCCAGGATCCCTGCCAGGACGTTGGTACCATCAGCTTCATAGTGAAAGGCAGATTCAGTGGAGAACACGAGCAGGTGAGTGCTGTCATTCCTCCAGCCGATCTTATCCTACAGCCAGGGAGGGCAAGAAGGAACCTTTATCTCTGTGCCCCCCAAACCACTGTCCAGCCGTTGGCAGGCCAGCACTGGCAGAAGTTGGAAAACCCAAGGGGCAAGGCACCACCTCCACTTGGCAGCAAGCGCAAGCAGCTACGTGGCCCTGGGAATCCAAGCCAGCAGGTCTCTGCTGCTCCTATCTGCACTCTGAATGCACAGGATGTCTCCCAGCAGCTCAGTTCTGAAGGGGGGGCGGGGGGCAAGTACAGGGGGCAAGCCCATGCTTTTCTGGATGTGTTTGGAGCTGTGCTCATCCCTCAGCCATTTGACTGTCTCGTCAGCTGCCCAGCTTGCTGCTCTTTTGCTCATCACCCAGTACTGAGAAGATCCACTCATTAAAAGCAGAGCCCTGCCCATGTGGCTCCTGCATCCCTGGCCACCATCACCTCGCAAACAGCTGTCTGCAGGATGGCATCAAAGCCGCCCTCAGGGGCATCCAGGTTGCCGGAGATGCGCTCTTTCCTGAGCTCCTGGCTGAAGTAGTTGATGTTGCTGGTCAGGCGGATGACATTCTTGAAGGAGAAGGGGGAGTCAGCGTTGTTCCAGGGTTCACGCAACCTGGGGGAGAAGGGGAGAGTGTGGGTTTTGCGGGGGGCAGGAGCAAAGGGATGCCTGGGTGCAAAGAGAGAAGGTGTGGGGAGATCACCCTGGGGCTGGGGAGTCCCTCAAGGGAAGGCATGAAGTTGAGTTGGCAAGCCATCAGCACTGAGAGGTAGAAGGGATGAGGGCAGAGATGGAGGAGAAGACAAGACATGCGATCTGTTGTGGCAGAGCAGGGAAAGTCTGGAAGCGGAGGAGGACACTGCTGGCATTGGCATGGTGCTACAGCAAGCCCTGGTGGGGAGGCCAGGGGAGACATTGGCAACGAAGGGAGAAAAATAGAATGAGTGTCTCACACGGCAGCCAGTGAAGATCAGAAAAGCCATGGAGAAACAGAAGGTGCCTGTCCTGCCCTCCCTGCTCCCATCCCGGGGAACCTGTTGGCCTCACTCACTTCTCAGGTCTCATGTCTGTCTGAGGGGATGTGACTTTGTCCACAAACTTGCCGAATCCAATGGTGTAATTGGAGGTCAGATCTTGCAGGAACCCAGCTGAGGGGAGAGGGAGGGAGGGGGGAGAAGACATGTGAATAAAGAGATGTTGATGAGGTTGCTGCTCCAGGGGAAGAAATCCTTTCCTGGGCATCTTCTCTGCTGGTCAGTTCTTAGATAAGACTCCCAAACTGTCAGCTTTTAAGCACTTTGGGCTTGGGGCTTGCCTTTTTTGGGGTAGAAATCTATACCACCTTTGGTAACCCCTTTCCAAGACTGGAGCTTCTGCAATAGCACACACCACACCTATAGGTTCTATATGCCAAAGCCACTGCACAGATCAGCTCTGGGCCAAAAGGAGACACCACACGTGATGATCCCTGCGGGGCCAGGAGAGACATCCCCCCCCAAAGCTGCACAAAGCAGCAACAGTATGAAACTCTCATTAAAACAGACGCCTCTCAGCCCTTTGCCAATTGCGTCCCTTTCTCTGGTGCTGGCAGAGAACTCCCAGCCGTGGGCAGGAGCGAGCCACCTGCCTTCATCAGCACAGGAGCTGGCTTCCCTCTTCTCCCAGCTCTGGTCTCACCTAGCTTTTGGCCCATGCTTTTGAGGTTGTCCAGATCATCAGACATAGAGTAGGAGAAGTCCATGAGAATGTAGAGATCCAAAGGGCTGTCCAAGGGCTGGAAGACATCCATGTTGAAGCTCATCTCCTCCCCAGCTCGCAGCCGCACAAACATGCTCTGGGGGGACACCTGGGTCCTCTTCAGGGTTGTGTTGATACTGAAATTCTGTGAAGAAAGACTGACGTGAAGGAGATGGACTCCATCTCCTGCGCAGATGCAATGAGGAGGAGGCAAGGAGCAGGGAGATATGTGGGAAGTGGAAGGGCAGGGATGATCACACCCCCTTCCCTCACGTACAGTCAGGGACCGAGGCAGCCTCCCCCGTGTCCCCGCACACCCAGCTGGGTGCCTCCTCCAGACCTTGGCATTTTGCTTACATCTGTTTTGTCTGAAAAGCCACCCCAGCCCTAAGTGATCAGGGCTGGTTGCCAACGGGTTCATCAGCTAGTGAAGGCAGAGCACTATTTTTGAGAA